TATGGGGACTCCATCGCACCCCGGGCAGCAGCGCAGGGTGAGCCGGAGCTCGGCTCCAGAGCAGGGGGATCCCCAGCAGCGCCACTTCCAGATGAAAAGAGCTTTGCTCGGGGGTTTATTGCACATTCCTGGTCGCACGAGGGAGACTGGGTCCAGGTAGCTGCCTCCTCGCTTCCCTTTAATCACTGCAGGGTGGGAACCGGATCCCACTGGAGGGATAAAAGATCTCTGAGATGAAGTACAATGGAGCAGAGTTAATGTCGATCGGTTTACTGCTGTAAGCAAATCACTGCCACATCTCTCTGTGCTGCACGTTAAAATTTACAACTCGTAGTTAAATGAGTCAGAGCTGTTGCTTCTGGTTCTGCCTCCAGCTTCTCCTGCCACATAGCTGGACAGACAATGGGTCCGTGTTGCAGAAGGGGCCTCGGGCCAGCCTCAAGGAGCTGTGTTGCAATGCCCATTATCGCAATGCCTCATTTTTAGGCTCCCTGCTGTGGAACAGATTGCTCAGGCCAGGGACAGACACCACTGTGCTTCACATAAGGTGTGGAGAGAGTTAAAAGCTAATAAAAGAAAATTTCAGAGGTTCACATACTCCTTGGTGAGAATATATATATATATTCTACTACAGATACATATGTATAGATTATATATACATATGTATAGATTATATAGATATACATTTAGATATAGATAATATGGATATAAATAGATATAGCTATATAGTGGGGGCCAGAACTATGAAAGGCAGGAAGAAGGTGTCTCTTTCTGCCACAGATTCCCTCACAGTTCAGTGCAGAATGAGTGAACTACTTCATTGCATCCAGGAGCTCTTTGGGTACAGCATATTATATTCCAAGCAGTGGGAGACTTACTCACCAGTCACCATGCCACTGGATTTGATTTGGAGAGCCCCATGACTGCTCTGAGGAGTGTCCTGGTCTCAAGACTGCTTACGCAGCCACATTTCTTGCTCTCTCTGGCCACCTCCGTGTCTAATATAAAATCCGATGTATCATTAGAAGAGATGAAAAGCGATTACCTCTGAGTCTCTAATGGTGAAAGCTGGTGATTGGTATTTTCACTTTGCATATAGAATATCTGAGTTCAGCTGTTTACCTAAATTCAGGCAGTACCAAGGAGTTAGTGCCAAGCATCCCACTTCTTCCTGAAGGTGTCCAGCCAGTTTGTTCAACGGACCTTTCATTTCCCAGATTTTTAGGAAAAAGGTCTGATGTGACCCAGGAGATTCACACAAAATGATGAGCCTGGATTTAAGCTTATAAGCACTACTGAGAAGCACTCAGCCCCCTCCCCTTCCCCGGGCCTTTACAATGGCTAAGTTAGGCAGCTTCCCTGTTTTGCCTCTGATTTCTTAAGGTTCTGTTCTCAGGCACAATCCTGAGCAGCAGGAGGCTGCTGCTGCGCCTAACTCACTTGCTGAATTTAGCCTGCCCTAACTTTAGAAAGCAAGATTTTAAGCTCCCACTTTGGTTGAGCACTACGGAAAACATTCGATAAAGTATTCAACGGGGCACCGATTCGTGTTTCAAGTGAAAGAGCGAATTCGGAAAGAAACCCCCAAACCACAAGAAATTCAGAGCAGATGACAAACGTACGGTTTAACCCACGGTTTGCAGGTTTACCCTGTGGTCACCTTCTCTGTAGCTAAAACTGAAGGGGATCCTTTCCGTGCTTTTTAAGCTCCCGGCCCTCGCTGTGTGCCACTCTGCCCTTCTGGCACAGCCGGAGCCGGGCGCGATCCCGCCGCGCTCCCAGCCGGGGCTCTGGAGCCGGTGCCGGGAAGATGCGCCCGGGCGCTGCCCCCGTGCGCGGGTAACGGAGCCGTTCCGCTCCTTTGTGGGAATAAGAGTAGGAAAAATAGCTTTTATTTGTACGTGTTTCTGCGCGTGCTTGCTTCCTCTCCGTGCTCTGGCTACTGTGAGCTGTATTTGCTGCGCCCCGTGGAAAGCGTCGCACCAAGGCACCATCGCTTTCCCACGGCTGAGAGCCCGTGGTGGGACGTGGATGTGCTCGGGGCCCCTCCGCTTTCTCTCGTCTGTCTGCCGAGGCTCTCTAGGAGTGCATGTGGAGATATGCATGGAGGGGAGGGGGTACCGCCGTGGCTGGGGAGGGGCGGCGGGGGAGAGGGGAGTTATTAGGAAACTTTGCTTTGGCTACTCTCTATCCTTGGGGCTGCGTGGCGCCAGCACCCTCAAGTTGAAAGGAAAACAGCCATTCTCACTTCCAACTGCCCACTGAGATCCTTAAGGCGACAAAGACACAAAAGTGAGTTTTATTTGCTGGTAAGCCAGAGGCAAGAAAAAAGAAAAGCCAATTCCCCCTTAAAAAGAGCCGACAAATCCTTTTTGCTCTTTTGTGTGAGCTTTTCCTATTCACATGGAGCGTTCATCCGTGTGATTCCCAACTTATTGTCATTACTTAGTTATTAATTGTTCTCATCTGGGTTTAATTGAGCAACCAAGGACTTTAGCCCAAGGGTCAGGGGGAAAACTTAAAGCAAAGACATGTTCAATAGGAATCCTGCGCTTCGAATATCCACCCCGAGTTAACATAATGTAAAAAAAAAAAAAAAAAAAAAAAGCAAACAGAGACAAAGCGGAGAGATTAAAGGGTGCCGCTGCTTTGCCCGGAGTCTCGAGCCAGAGCCACAGCGCCCAAAGGTGCCGGCAAAGGGGAGCAGCGCTTGCGGGGAGCCAGCTCCAGGCTGTCCTCCCTGTTTAAAATCTCTCTCGGATTTTAAGGGCATCTTTACAGGATAAACCCGGCCTCCTGAGCGATTAGGTCCCCCCAAACCCGCGGTCTAATGGCGCAGAGGCTAAGTTAGAGAGAGAGATAAACTGGAGATACCCAGCCTTTTTCTGCCAGCGACACAACGTGGGAAAAAGGCACAGAGCTTTCCCGCTCCAGCGCGGCGTTGGGCGCTGGGGTCGGGATCACAGACACTGCCATTTGCACAGGGAAAAGAAATGATAGGAAAAGAAAAGGGTTAGGAAAAAAGTACAGGGAAAAAAAAAAAAAGGCAAGAAAAGAAAACAAACAACCACAAAAGCCCCAAACTCACCCCAGCTCAAAAATGACGGGGCGGCCAGAGCCGAGCGAGAGAAAAGAAGGGGGATTAGAGCAGCGAGCTCTGGAGAAAGTGGCTGTGTTCAGGTATGTTGTTTCGCTGAGTTATTGAAAGCATCATTGATACTTAGGAGATGATAAAAGTCCTGCCTCGCCCCCAGCTACAGTCTCGCTGGAGCCACAGTGCCTGCAGAAGATTGCCGAGCCTCATTACAGCAATTATTTTCCTTCTAACTTTGCTTCAACCTTAACGTTTTAAATTGCTGGAAATGAAAGCAGCGGGGTGGGGGGTAGGGGGAAAGACAGAAAGAAAAATAGAGTCCCAATTTCTCAGCGGCTATTCCTTGAGCACAAAGATAAAGCACGAAAAAAAAAAATAAAAGGAAAAGGAAAAAAAAAAAAAGAAAATGAGGAAACCAACTCTCTCCCTTACCCGAGGGATTCGTCAAACCAAAGCGGGTGGAGCAGCGCACTGAGGGGGCTCAGGGCGCAGCCGGCGGGGACGCGGCGAGGCGGCGGCGCCGGTGCAGGCGGGAGCGGCAGGCGCGGAGCCGGGGCTGCGTGTCCGCCGATTTCCTCCACGGGGCTCTCAGCCGTCGCCAGCGACTTCCTCGGGGCCGTGGTCGGCCGGGACGGGTTTCTAGCGGAGCCAGCCGCTGAGAACGGCGGGGTGTTCGAAAACCCGAGGGTGAGCAGGAGACACGGCGCCGAGCGGTCCCGACCGTCGGTCCCGCGGGTGCCGCCGGGCCCGCACTCCTGCCCAGCACCATCGTCCCCACGCCCCATCGGCTCCCGTGCTGACACTGCCTCGCCATTAGCGTCCTTTATCCCCATCTTCAGCACCAGCCGAACCGCGACAGCCCCCCTCGTCCCCACCGCCCCAAATCCCGGTGCTCCGTTCCCCCGAGTCACATCGGCCGGCAAATGCAGCTCTGGGGAAAGCCGCTTCTCTCGCACCACGCTCGGCACTGAGGTGTGGGACACGTCAGGCCCTCCCCAGTCTTCACGGCCAGCGGGGGCTGCGGCCGGGACCCTCCCAGGCACAGGGACCGGGCAGGGAGAGGAACAACTTTTCTCTTTCCTAGGGCCAAGGAAACACGGCCGGTCCCGGCGCTGCTGGGGGAAGCAGCAGCGATCACACCCACCTTCGGGGCAGGAATGCGGAGGGAACTGCTGGCCAGGAGCAGTGGGGGAAAGAAGGAAACCTCAAACAGCTGTGAGGACCGGGTAGCTCCGGGATACACAGAAAATTGAAAACTCAGCTGCTGTCTCACCATCCAAGGCTGAAGTCTCCTGGAACGGCTGCTTAGAGCCGGTCCCTCTCTCATCCCCTAATACACGAATTCAGTATCTTCTTCTGTCACACCCAAGAGGGCAAAGAGCAAATAAATTGCATCAAACAGTAGCTTAAAATTAATTTATTTAACAAATATAGCTATAATATAAATGATAATAAAATTTCAAATATACAGTATATTACATAGTACACAGAGCCCCTTCCAAAGGAGCTGGTGAAGGAGCAAAGAAGGCAACAGACAACACTGTTACACGGAAGTGGGAAAGGCTGTTGTACACTTCTGTCTCTTGACCTCGGCCTTGCAGAAAGTAAGAGAAATGTCCTGTCTTTCAGTCCCCTTTTTCCATCTCTTCCACAGTTCCTTCCCCTGCGTCAGGGGCCTCTCTGCAGGCTGACAGCTGGACCCAGTAAAGCAGGACACATTCGGTCCATCACCACCCTGCATCTGGAAAAAGCTGGGGCAATGCCTCAGGTGTCTGCCAGTTCCCCAGGACTGCTGAGGAGACCAGAACAGCGCTGGGATAAGGGCTCAGCATCAGAGGGGGAAGCAGAGAGGTCAAGCAGAGCCAAACTGGAGGAGTCTCTGCCATAGGCTCCACGGGGAAGTCCACAGAAAAGAGCCGGAGGAGCAGGGAGGGAGTTTGTGTGGAGCCAGCGGGAGCAGACAGTCAGCAGAGCTGGGCTCGGCTCAGGCTCTATGTGAGGTGGTACATGCTGTATCCCACATGTGCTGTGTACAGTCCCACAGGAGCCACGGGCAGCCCTGCCCGCTGAAAAGGGCTGGAGGCACCGTACAGGGACGCGCCGGCCACGGCCGGGCCGCCCAGTGGGAAGGAGATGCCAAAAGCAGCAGGCGGGAGCATGGGCTTGGCTGCCATCTTCAGCTTCTCCAGCTCAGCCTCCTGGAGCCTCTTGGCCTTGGCGCGACGGTTCTGGAACCAGATCTTCACCTGGGTCTCGGTGAGGCTGAGCGAGCTGGAGAACTCGGCGCGCTCGGCGATGGACAGGTACTGCTTCTGCCGAAACTTCCTCTCGAGGGCCAGCAGCTGCGCCGTGGTGAAGGGCGTCCGGGGCTTCCTGTTTGTCTTGTGCTTGCGCAGGGTGCAGGCGGGCGGGCTCAGCCGTCCTGTGCCCGGGAGCAGCCGGGGAAGAGGGGAAAGGAGAGACACCTCGGTTAGCAGCGGCCAAACCCCACAGCCTGCAGAGCCCCCTCCCTTGTCAAAGCTGAGGTGGAGAAAGGGAGAGGTAGGGTCCCACTTGAAGCAAGGTGCCCCAAATCACCAGGGTTGCCTGGGGCACACTGAAAATTGCCGTCTCCCTTTCTAAAAAAAGAGAGCTGTGCTTCGCATCAGGAAGCTCTGACTCCATTGAAAAGTGCCCGGCAACGGGCAGGAATCAGACACCCACAAACCCTGCACCTCCTGCCTTCACGGCTACCTTGGCTCATGCACAGGAGACGCAAATAAAGGGAATGGCCTTCCAAAAAGAAGAAAAAAACTCCTGTTTTTTTTATTGGATTACAGGAAAAAAAATAAACAAAACGGGCTGGCTTCTCAGTCTCACACCCTCTTCATTAGGCCCCTGGGAACCGGATTAAGCATGTAATTAATTACGAGGTCTGAATTGACACTCATGCTGTATCTACCACTCTTCACTGGCCTGCTCCTCTCCTCTTATTTAACATTTCTAAGGGTCTCCAACATCCATCTGTCCCGGTTTACTTAGCAACAGCAAATTTAACTTTGCAATTTAAATAAATTAAACCACTGCTTTGCTCTACACAAGTCCTGTCGGAAAACCTGTCGTTTTCCAAGGGACAGAGAAAGCAGCGCTGTTTGCAGTTTGCTAAGGGCACGCCAAACGCTTGGAGATCCTCAGACCGAGGTCATCCCTTTGCACGGGATCCCTGGCAGGAAGGGAGCGCGGCCAGGCCGAGGGCAGCCGGCCCATACTGCCCAGATCGGGCTCGGCGCAGCCACTGGAAATTACCGGCCTTCTCTGATCTCGGCTCTCACGCTGTTATTCGTATTAATTTAACTCTCTCTGCATTAAAGCAGGAAAACATCACTGATTATGATTCTTCGGTGTTTGGACGTGCACCGCTTAAGACACCACCCGGTGGGGCTGAAGCCCGCAAAGCTGCCGCTTCTAAGAACCCGGTCTGTGCGCATCCTTAAGGAGTTACTTGAGCCACTTTCTGACGAGAGGCTCAGTGATGTTGAGTCAAAATTTACGTAGCTAGTTCGAGCCCCAGGTTAAATAAACAAGCTGGCCGCGTTGCTTATTCTTCTCACTCCCTCCCAGTTAACATTTGGCACGAGATGTCAGCCTGGCACGGCCGCTCTTCCTGTGCGCTCGCAGCCATCCTACACTCTCGAATCCGTTCAGTACTTTGGACGGATCGAAGTGGCAGAAAAGTGCGCACAGCACGGAAAAATATATAGGGAGAGGCAGGCAGGGCGAAAGCGACAGGAAAGCCCCGGTCACCCGCGCAGCTTTGCCCTCGGTCCGCCCGGCCCCGCGGAATGTCGCAGCCAGCCCGCAGAGTTCCCATCCCATTACTTACTCGGGGGAGGCGGCGAGAACCGTGGCGTTTGCATCCAGGGGCTCCGCTCCTGCTTCTCGGGGCTCTCCGCCTTGACGAGCGTGTCCTCGGGCAGCTTGACCAGCCCCCCGACGGAGAAGTGCCCGCCGAGGGGCAGCGGGGAAGGCGGTGCCTCCGCCGACAGCGCGCCCAGCCGAGGGCTGAGGCTGGCGCGGGAGGCCGCCCCAGCGCCCGGCGGGGGCCCGGCGCCCTCGGGTCCGTCCCTGCCTCCCGGCTTCCTGTGGTCGGCCATGAGCGCCTCCACGCTGAACGGCAGGAGGGATGGAGAAACCTTGGGCTTGTCGCTTTCCTCCTCCCCGCCCATCGCCGCCGCGACAGGGAGCGCGCCGCCGCCGGGACTGCTGAAGGCGGATGCGGGCAGCTCGTCGCTGCGGACCCCGGTGGGCGCGGCGGTCATATCCACAGCCGGGGCCATGCAGGGGCAGCCGACCGATGCCACCGCAGCGCCGGGCGGGAGCGATCGGCACCGCCGCTCATGGGGCCGGAGGGCGCAGGCAGCCGGCAACACGCTCCAGCCCCGCGCCGCCGGCACCGCCTCATAAAGCGGCGCGCGGGCGGCTCCGCCCAACCGGCGCGCGGGGGGCGGGGTCACACCGCCCCATTGGTTGCGGCCCCGGCGGCGCGCGGGGGGGTGGGGCGCGCGGGACGCTCCGACGGCAGTCCTGGCCCCGCCCCTCCCCTCAGCTCTCAGCCCTCAGCCCTCGGTTCCGCTCCGCGTCCCCCGGGCCCGCTCCACGCCCCGGCTCTCGACTCGGGACGGAGAGAAGGGAGCCGGGCAGCCGGCGCAGCCCTCCGCTGTAGAGATGGGAAGGCTCAAAACTCGGGCAAAGATGCCGGCCTTTCTGTTCGTAAAGAGCAAGGGAGAGAGCCCGAGCCCGTTCTTCTTCAAAACTAGCAAATACCGGGCTGTCCCGAGTTTGACCTCTCAAAGGGAAGGAGACCCTGCCCGTTCCGCTGTCGTTTTGAGGGTTTTTTTGGGGGGGTTGTTTGTTTTTTTTGTTGTTGTTGTTTTGGGTTTTTTGGGGGTTTTGTTTGTTTAGTTGGTTGGTTGGTTTGGTTTTTACACGATCGCCGGCCCTGCAGTGTATTCGATGTGACCGCGTTTATATCCGTACCCACATACACAACGCACAAATTGAGCTACTTCTTATGGCATAGATGTGTGCGTGTCTGCAGATAACGAAATGTTCGTTCACTTAAAAAGGAACCTATAAGCCCCTGAGCCCTTAAAGTCCCGGCTATTTTGTTTTGTTAATTCGTTTTACGATCCCTTATCCCCGCGCCCAGGACGGATGTGCAGTAAAACGGAGCCGCTCTCTAATAACGGGATTGGCCGCTCGCTGAGAAAAGTTTATTGATAGCTGCAGGGCTCTAATCTCCTCGGAACACAAGAGCCTCTTGCAGTCATTTAAGGGCAATTATCTAAACGGGGAGGGACAGCGAATTCCCTTTCCTTTTAACTGGACCCTATAAAGATGGTAGATTAGAAACATATAGATTATGAAATGAATTGATATAATAGACATTTTACTAACTGATAAGCAACAGGATCTGACTGAAATGAATTGTCCTGCGCGCAGCTCCACACACTTAACTCACACACGCGTGAGCACATGCCCTAGCGGGGTGTTTCCTGCGTCCCGCACATACATCGCACCCCGTCCCGCAAGTGCTGGGCTCACGGAGGGTCCCTCTCACTCGTGGAGGTGATCTGGAGGCGGTTTGCGGGCTGCTCCCGCAGATTCCTGTGCATGAAGGTGAACGCGCTTCGCACAGACATATAGCTCACGCTGGTACCTCCAGCTGCCCTCCTGCTGCGTGCCGCCCGCTGATCGCTTCTGCCCGGCGGGAGCAGCGGTGCTGCCGCCCAACCCAGGCCGGCTCCGGGCCCCGCCGCTGCCGCTGCCGGTGCCGGTGCCGGCGCTGCCCGCAGCCTCCCCCGCGCCCCATCGGGCCGGGGTGCCGGGTCGGGCCGCGTCGGGGAGAGGGGGTGGGGGTGCTCGGAGAAGCGGCTGCATTGCTAATTGCGAGAATAAACAATCTGTCACGATTAGTCAGTGCCTCTAATAGGCAGACAAGTGATGTTGTTTTTAGGCGCCAGCAGCGGTCTGATCAAAGGCTTCAGCTGGAGGGGGACTATTGAGGACGTTAACCCGCATCAAGGGAGCAAGGCGCCTTAGCCCTGGGACATCGGCACATTCAGCCTGACAAAATTAGTTTGCTCTACCAATCACAGGACATTTTCCCAAAGCCCGGTACTCATCTCGAAGATGCACCCCCACCCCACCCCGACTAAGAAAACACGCACATATATCGATGCATCGTGTTTCCCCGTGTCACGGTGTCCCCTCCACCCGATCCTACAGGTAGGATCTTGTTTTGTTTGAGTTTTTAAATTATTTTTATTTTCCCCCTGATTCCAAACTTCACCACGCAAAAGAAGTGATATATTTATTAGACCTCGAGGAAGCCCCTGGGCTGAGTTCAATCTGGTTGTTTGATGGAAATATGAAAATTAAAGTATAGCTGCTGGGTTTTTCTCCCTTCCTCACTTTTCTTTTGCACAATGATTTGAGCACTGGGATGTTGCTGAGGTTTGAAGAGATGCGTGTGCGTCCCATACCGGGAGCGCGATCCCGCTCTCATTTAGAGTTGACAGAATGAGATAATTAGCTCTTTATTTATCTCTCAGCAATGAGCGCTTTGTGTTTACATTTCTGTCATACTCGCTGGTATTTCAATCACTGTAGCAATCACTACAGCAAGGACTTGATTCTAATTCACATGCTGGCTTTTCATCTGTTTGGCTGGAAACGAAATGCCAGTAAAGTTTCTTTCGTTTCTTGCTCATTTTTTCTTTCCCTTCTTTCTTAATGAAATCTACAAGTTTTAAGTGTGGAATGGAGAAAATAAATTTATAAAACGAAATGTCCCTCAAGATTGACTTCTGTGTTCAGAGGGAAATTTTTAGTTTCCAAACTCTTCCTCCCTTGCTCGCTGCACTTTAGGTGACCAAAACACCACCGGATTTTAGGAATTTTTTAATACCTGTTTCATGTTGCTGATACTCTGGTTTGCTTTTAGGTGGCTCTCTTATGTTCCGCCCTGGGCTGCAAGAAAAATCGAAGTGAAAGGGCAGAGGGAAATAGGTGACTTTATTGGTGCTTGTTCTAGTCCGGTGTTTTTTATTGGGAGCCGTGGCGTTTCCCCGAAGGCAGTTGTGCTAGATAACAATATTGGGCAATTAGCATCTTAAACAGTCCCGTTTCAGTATAATGAATGTGCTAGGCAAAGCCATTACCCATAGCATTTTATTTCGGTGGGAATACAACAAGGGCTGGGAGGAGTGCGTGGGGGATGGGGAGAAAGGACAGGAGACAGAGCTAAGCCAATTCAAGGCATTGTCTGCCTTTTGTAAACGTTATCTTTGACTTAAAGGCAGAACTCAGAAAGGAGAGGGGTGTTGTTGTTTCCCTTGTTTCTACTTTATTTTTCCCGAGACAGCAGCTCTTAGGAGACCAGAGGGTCCGGCAGGACACGAGCCGGCTCTGGGGACGGGCAGCTCCGGGGCAGTTCAGCCGCGCCGGGCACCGCCTGCGCGCTCCCTGCGCGCTCCCTGCGCGCCCTTCAGCCGCCTTGCTTCATCTCTGCGAGACTCAGCCCTGGGGGCAGAGAGCCAGAACTGTCGCAAGTGCTAAAATGTCCCGCGGGCTTTACAAGCCCTCAAAGCCCTTCAAGTGCTCAAAGCCCTCCCTGATTCCGTCGCTGGTTTCCGAGTGTCGGCAAAAGGCGAAAACACCTCAGTTCTTTGCTTTTTGTCTTTCCCAACTCCGTCTCCCCCTTTATTTTCATTTTCTCTTCCTCTCTCTCTCTCCCTAATCCTTTCTGTCCAGATTAAACATAATCCAAACTACTTCCAAGGCTTCTGGGACCTGGGCTGGTCCTCGGGAGGTCACCAGGAGCTGTTTGGATGGCCAAACTCCAGTCGCCGAGGCGTCCCCGGCTCTTTGAGGGTCGGAGGAGTAGGGCTGAAAGGAAGGCACTATTTCAAGTGGCCTAAATTAATTTGATCGCGACATTATGATGCACTTGGAAAAGATGAAAGAAAAGGCTGACCGTCTCCTCCAAGATCTCTATAATTATAGATAATATATCCTATTTCAAAGCAATTAGCTCAATCAGGCGTAACGAGGCACTTTGCTGCCAGGGAGTAACAATGCCTTACGGTTATTTAAGCTTCAAGATGTCAAGCAGACTTCGAGACTCTGCTCTGCCCAAAAGGGAACTTGGCTGCCTTGGTGAAAGCCCCATGGCTAAGGCACTGGTTTCCCTTCAGTGACAACACCCCTATTTAATTTAATATATGCTTTTAAAGCTCTTGCAAAGGTGTCGACTCTGCTGGAGAAGAGCACCGTCCTCCAGGTGCGTTTGGGGCCGGCGCCTGTGTGGCATCACCTCTGCCCCTGCCAGCCATCGCCGACCTGCCTCACGTCGGCGGCTCGCTCCGGGATGCTTGTGCTCTCCGAGCCTTTCCCCACTCGGTGCCTTTCTCTCGTTAGTTTTTCGGGGTGGTTCCTGCTATGTCTCACGGAGTTCTACAGGAGCAGTCGCTGATGGGGCGCACTGGTGGATTCGCTGTCCCCAGCCCCAGTGCAGACCTCCCTGCCGACTCAGCGCCTCCTCCAGCCCCCAGAGCTTTACCCGGCCCTCGCCTCGACTTTTACCTGAAGCGCTTTTAGATGGCAAGATCCCTCTCGAGAGCCCCGAGGGCATTGCGTTCCGTATGTGCAGAGGGGGCTCTGCAAAAACACGGAGCCCGCCCGGGTGTGTGAGGGGGCCCTGCAGTAACACCGAGCCCTCCCGTGTGTGTGAGGGGGCTCTGCAATAACACCGAGCCCTCCCGTGTGTGTGAGGGGGCCCTGCAGTAACACCGAGCCCGCCCGGGTGTGTGAGGGGGCTCTGCAGTAACACCGAGCCCTCCCGTGTGTGTGAGGGGGCTCTGCAGTAACACCGAGCCCTCCCGGGTGTGTGAGGGGGCTCTGCAGTAACACCGAGCCCTCCCGGGTGTGTGAGGGGGCTCTGCAGTAACTCTGAGCCCGTCCGGGTGTATGAGGGAGCTCTGCAGTAACACCGAGCCCTCCCGGGTGTGTGAGGGGGCTCTGCAGTAACTCTGAGCCCGTCCGGGTGTGTGAGGGGGCTCTGCAGTAACACCGAGCCCTCCCGGGTGTGTGAGGGGGCTCTGCAGTAACACCGAGCCCTCCCGGGTGTGTGAGGGGGCTCTGCAGTAACTCTGAGCCCGTCCGGGTGTGTGAGGGAGCTCTGCAGTAACACCTCCAGGAGAGCACGGCCCAGGGCCCTCCTGATCCTGACTCAAACCCGCAAGTGGGGTGGGCAGAGTGGGCTGTTGCCCCCTGC